GAATGAAGTGACTACATATAGGAAAACCTAATTGGGTTGTACCCCCTATGGGATACCCCACTATAGCCTACACAAAAGCATAAGCTATAATGTTCTGACACACCCCCATAGGCAAAGTGGGGGAGAACAAGGGGTCACAAGACCAGTCAAGCAAAGCAAAGCAAAGCTCAGGGTGGATCACAAAGTCACCACACAGTCCGAGCACAAGGTCAAGGCCACAAGGCCAGTTCACATGCAAGACGAGACATATATATATATAAGACGAAACAAGCAAGAGCAGGTATATATATATGCAGGAGTACAAGCAAGGTCAAGAGGTGAGCAAGTGTGGTAGAACAGGTACAAGTCCCAGCTGAGTGCAGAAGCGCTGATGATCACAAGGCGGAAGTGCCTTGGTGAAAACATCAGCAGTGTTGGCCTCAGAGGCCACGTACGCAAGTCGCAACTGACCACGCTGCTGCAGCTCACGAGCAAGGAAGTAACGGAGAGCAATGTGCTTCGTTCTGTGCTCCAAGCGCTGCTCTCGACACAAGGCTAGCATGGCCTTGTTGTCTACGTACAACACTGGAGGAGAACGAGGCACCTCTCCAAGGTCAATCAGCAGGTAGGTCAGCCAGCGAAGCTCCTGTGCAGCCATGGCCCCGGCGTAGATCTCACCCTCACAACTGGAGCCGAGAACAGAAGACGAGCGAGTAGCCCGCCAAGAGACAGAGCCAGAACCAAGACTGAAGGTGTACCCCTGCGTCGACCGCTGCGTAGCCTGGTCGTCAGCCCAAGAAGCGTCCGCATGACCAGTGAGGACCACTGGACTCCGCCCTCCAAGCACTAGCCCCATGCCCGACGTACTGCACAAGTAGCGCAACACCCTCTTCGCTGCAGCCATGTGCTCTGGTCGGTGTCTCCAAGGAGCAACATAGCGTGCAAGAATGCTAAGAGGGTATGCAAGGTCAGGTCGTGTGCAGGTCATCAGGTACATGAGGCAGCCAACAAGCTCTGGGTACGGGCCACTCGACTCTACGGACTCATCCGAAGGCAGAGCGGAGAGCAAGTGGCGAGTAGCCAGAGGAGTGGCCTGAGGCGAGGAGTACGTGAAGCCGAAGCGCTGAAGGACCTGCTGCACCATGTGTGACTGAGTCAAGGTAATGGTGCGGCGTGCTCTGTTCCAGGTGATCTGCAAGCCAAGGTAGCTGCGCAGTTCACCCAGGTCTGTGCACGTGTGTCTCTTCTGCAGCTCGGCCTTCAAGTAGGCGAGTCCAGCAGTGTCAGCAGTGGCAAAGACCAAGTCGTCGACGTACACGAGGATGTAGAACGGCGGCAGAGAGGTGTCGGTGCGCAGAAACAACGACGGGTCAGCAGTAGAGGGAGCAAACCCAAGAGCCGCAAGCGTAGTCCTCAGTGTGTCGTTCCACTCACGCGGTGCCTGGCGGAGACCGTAGACTGGCCGTCGGAGGCTCCATTGGGTGCCAGGAGGGAAAGTCCCAGTGAAGCCAGGTGGACGGCGCAGCCAGATCTCCTCGTGCAGGCTACCCTGCAAGAACGGAGTGCTGAAGTCAAGAGAGTGAAGCTCGTAGTCGCGCTGAGCGGCTATGTGTAGCAGCACCCGAAGAGTGGTCATCTTCGGGGTGGGAGAGAAGGTCTGAAAGTAGTCAAGTCCCTGCCGCTGACTGAAGCCACGAGCCACGTACCGCGCCTTGAAGACAGGTGGAGAGCCCGGCGGCCGCTTCACCCTGAAGATCCACATGCCACTCACGATGTTCGCCCCAGGAGGGGGAACCGCGTCAACGTAGGTGCCTGTAGACTTCCAGGAAGCCATCTCTGTATCCATAGCTGCCTGCCACTGAGAGGAGTAGGGACCCTCTATGGCCTCCGCGTAAGAACGCGGAGTCGGGATGTCTAGTGCATCCGGGTCTCCCTTACTGGCAAGCAGTACACACGCGAGATGAGGTGAAGCAGCAGCCAGACACTGGAACTCCTCCTGCCTGTCCTCAAGGACGTCCGTGCCAAGAGCACACTCACCCCCGACGGACGGAGGACAGACAGACGCAGACTCAGCAACAAGACTAGCAGCGTAGTCTAGACGACAGCAAGCAGCAAAGTCGACAAGCTCAGCGACAAGAGCAGACGCAGCAGTGGACTCAAAGAGGGGTCTGTGACAACAGTAGCAAGAAGACGCGTGACAGTAGGATTGGCAGCACGAAGAGAGTCCGACTCCGGGTCGGAAAGTGCAGGAAGAGAGGACGCAGGAGGAGAAGGCAAAGGGGCACGCAGAGGAGCAGTGGACGGACGCAGAGACATCCGGTGCGTGCCAGGGACAGGAGGAGGACGCTGACACGAACCGCGACCACTAGCGCGAGCAGCACGAACAGGCGACGCGGGACGAGACGCAGGCTCACGACGCTCAGCGAGACCTCCAGTAGGACCAGTGTAAGGAGAGGGAGCAGGCAGTGGGGAGGCCGGCTCTATCAGTGACGGCGACTGGACAGACGGCGGACACTCTACAGAAGGAGGAAGACCAAGAACCTGCTGCAGGAGCGGAACGAAGTACGGCCAAGGCCGCGCGGGGACTCGAGGCACAGCAGGGACAGCACCAGCACCCTCAGTGGCAGCACCAGCGCCAACAGCACCTCCAGCGGCAGGACCTCCAGTCGCACCAGCAGCAGGACCACCGCCAGGACAGACAGCAGCAGTCTCAGCACCAACACCCTCAGCAGCTCCAGCCCCAGTAGGACCCAAATGCCCAGTAGCTCCAGGACCGGCGGCACCAGCACCCTCAGCGGCCGAAGAAGCTCCAGCTCCAGCAGTACGCCTCCAGCGACGGGCAAACCACTCGCGCAGCTCCTGTGGAGAGAGTGGCTCCCGCCAAGACGGAGCACCCGGAGAACCTCCAGGCCCAGCACCGCCTGACGCCACAAGGGGAGGTCCAGTGGCCGTAGGCTCCGCACCTCCAGGCTCAGTAGCTCCAGACGCAGCACCTCCAGGCTCAACACCCTCTGGCGCAGCACCCCCTGACTCAGCAACCCTAGGCTCGTCACCCCCATGCTCAGCATCCACGCGCACAGCACCCCCAGGCTCAGCACCCCCAGGCTCGTCACCCCCAGGCTCAGCACCCAAGCGCACAGCACCCCCAGAGTCAGCACCCCCAGGCTCAGCACCCGCAGCAGGACCAGAGTCACCAGCAACCTCGACCGGCTCGACCGCGTCTACCTGGGACACATCTGAAGGGGCAAGAACCTGAGGGGGTAGGGGGTCTACCGGGGGGGGACTTGGCATAAGGAAGTCTTGTGGCGGGGGAAGGGAAGGAGTGCGGTAGGGGAAGAGGCGGTAGAAGGGGACTGACTCGTCGAACGTGACGTCCTGGGAGGACAGAACACGACGAGAGGAGGGGTGGTAGAACTGCCACCCTGGGGCGTCAGGGGGGAAGCCAAGGAAGACACAGGGAGAAGCACGAGGGGACACCTTGTCCGCAGACAAGTCGCGGACAAACGCCCGAGATCCCCAGACACGGAATGCAGACGCATCGCCGACCTTCCCAGTCCACAGGAGGGCCGGGGAGGTGCGGACCTTCCCCGGCCGGGAAACCCCGGGGTGAATGTAAATGACTGAGTTAATAATAACATGCATACATCGAGTTTATATAAGAGTACAAGGGAATTCGAAAGGACCTAGACTAGCCATGTACTCTAAGGGGTACATTCCCTTATTACAACTGAATTCAAAAACCGTGCGGCGCGGAAACCCGTTCAAAAACTGTTCCCGCTCTTTTCACTGTAAATGTTTCTGCCTGCATCGGTCTTGATCTGACGGTTGGTGCGTAGCTTTGGCTCTTCTGACTCCTCAGCTTCGTACTCGGTAGAGTCGGCTCCTGCAGCATACAGGAATGCCTTCTCATAAAACTTCGCATCGTAACACCTACCTGCTGTGCGAGGTTGGTCGACAGAATTGAGGTAGGCGCCACGCTTAATTCTGCCTATTATATGAGAGGGGAAGACGAGTGCCAAATGCCCATACCCTTTCATCATCGCTTGGCCATGTGGCTGTAGAACAGCGTCATGTAGAGATTCTCTGGCAAGTCTTTCGTAGGGAAGGGAGGGATGCTTCGCTTGTGGCCTTCCTTCCAGAACCTACATGAACCTACATGAAAATATATTGAACCCGTCGAAATATCTTTACGCTCCCCTGACATGGGCCCGAATTGCGCTCTGTCCAACCGCCTGAAATCTGGCACTGCACCGAGTCGCCAGATCCAAGGTGCTGCTGATAGTATACTGCACGTTCCAATACGGTGCTGTTTCGTGACGCCTTCATCCTGGCTGGGGAATGACTGACACAGGCCGAGCACAACACATCAAGTGAAATGAGAGGATGGACTTGCCAACAGGGGGCGGGCTCATGTTTCCTTCTCACACTCGCATTCGCACTGCGGAGGCGTTCAGGTTGTAGTTCGAGAAGTGAGTTGGAGAAGAGCAGCGAGAGCAGCGCGCAGTGCAGCAGTGGCTCTTGCACATGTGCCGTAGGCCGTGGTGCTTCCATTCACAGCGCCTATCTCTGGACTGCACGGCCTCCGTATCCTCTTTCCTTTCTCCCGGACGGTCTGAAACCGCAGAGCTGGCCGGTCGTGTGTCTGGGTCCTGAACATACCCCATCCATCCTTCTGTTCTTAACGCGCACTGGCGAGATTTGCGAAACCACGTGGAAGTCCAAACCGAGCTAATAGGGATCACTCGCTCGATGCGCGCATCGCTAAGGAGCTACAAGCGTGACCACGGAGGCGAGGAGAAGTGATGCACTGCTCACACCCATTTCCTTAGCCGATTCTGTTCTAATTACCTAAGGACATTCGTATTTGCTCCCCTTGCTCTGCGGTCGCGATCTGCACGATGCGGCGAGAGACGAAGCGACGCTAATCGCGTGACCACTCTCTTATCATCGACGCGATACGGCTCATCCGGTAGCCGCTATCCGTAGTGCATTCTAGCCTCTCTTTGATCAACACAAACACAATGTCCCGTTTTTGGTGGAAAGCGGCGACGCGAAGGCCGCCGTTGCAGCTCGTGCTATCAGCGGGGCTGCTGGCCGCGGCGGCGATCGGCTGCCTCTCCGTATGGCCCGTGACGGCCGGCATGGCTAGCGCCGCAGGCGACACGGCGAACAGCACGCAGGACGAAGACGACGCGGCTCTGCTGTACGCAGTGAGCATGGCGTGTGACGGCATGGTGTCTCAACATTTCCCACCTCCCACACACCTTCCGCCTCCCACACACCCCATCCTCTCCCACACCCTTCCTTAATCTCTCCCGCACCACCCCCCTAATCCTGTTGCCAGCAATGGAAGCGCGCGTACCGCCTGGGCGAGTCGAACACCGAGCCGCCCGAAACGATCTCGCTGCCGCCAGGGGTGCCGCGCGCACCGCACCTAGAAGACTGCAGCGCGCGGACCGCCGCGCGCCAAGCGCTGGAGAGGCGCGGGCCGCGGGGAGAGTCGCCCGCGTGGGCACGAGCGCGGCTTCCCCAACCCCCGTGGGTACGTGCTGGTGCGGGGCGAGGTGGCGCCGGGGGAGGCAGCGCAGCAACCAGTGCAACAGCGCATTGCTACTCGTGCGCGTGCGTACCTTTCTGCCGCACGAGGCCTGCCCCTCCCCTCACTGCCTTTCTCGAATCCTCTCATCTCGCCCTTTCGCACCCGCCCTCGCTTCCCCTCCCCCCTCCCACCCCTCCTTCTCGTCTTCCGTCCGCCTTCACCCTCCCTCCCGCAGGTGCGCGGGTCGGACGCGGGCAATCTGGGCGGCACGCGGGCGGCGCAGAGGGATCTGTGGGAGCACCAGTTCCCGCTGCACCGCTGCCGCGGCCGCCGCCTGCTGCTGGTGCGGTGGCTGGACATGACGCGGCACGGGCTGGGCTCGCAGCTCCACGTCATCGGTGCGCACCCGCGCCCTCTCGCCTCGCCTATGACCGTCCTTTGCACGTGATTCACTCCCATCGATCCTCCTTTGCACGTGATTCACTCCCATCAATCCTCCTTTGCACGTGATTCACTCCCATCGATTCTCCTTTGCACGTGATTCACTCCCATCGATCCTCCTTTGCACGTGATTCACTCCCATCGATCCTCTCCTCTCCCCTCCTCGCCTCTCTTCATACTCTCTCTCTCTCTCCGCCGCTCACCCATCTCCCACTTCGTCTTCTCTTCTTTCTGCCCCCCCACCCCTTGTATTCGTGTCCTGCCCCACTTGTCCCCCTGTTCTCCTCGCGCTGCTCCTCACCCCGCGCGTCTCACTGCTCCTCGCCCCGCGCGTCTCACTGCTCCTCGCCCCGCGCGTCTCACTGCTCCTCGCCCCGCGCGTCTCACTGCTCCTTGCCCCGCGCGATTCACTGCTCTGCGCACGGCGGGCCGCGCAGGGTCCGTGCTGAGCGTGGCCATGCTCTTCAACCGCACGCTCGTCATCGTGCCAGGAAGCTTCCCGCAGGCGGACCACAGCGAGTGCGAGGGGGCGGAGAGGCGCGGGTCGCTGGACTGCTACTTCTTCGCGCTCACCTCCTCCCACTGCCGCAACATCGCCATGCGCGCTTATAACGAGTACAAGGCGAAGCGGGGGCTGGAGGGGCGGTCTCGTTGGAGGGCGTGGACGGCCATGCAGCGCCGCCGCATCTCTGCCCACCGCACCTCCGCTGCCCACCGCACCTCCTCTGCCCACCGCACCTCCGCTGCCCACCGCACCTCCTCTGCCCACCGCACCTCCTCTGCCCACCGCACCTCCGCTGCTGGCACCACGGCCCGTGCAACGGCCCTCGCCGCACGTGCTGGGGGTGGGCAGGGGGGCATAGAGAGCGTTGTGGGCCGGGCGGATGAGGGGCGCAGGGGGAATGGGGCGGAGGGGGCGGAGGGGGCGGATGAGTGGGAGGCGGAGAGTGGGGAGGTGCGGTGGTGTGGGTACGATACGAAGCGCACGCTGGAGTCGGATGCGGTGGTGGTGTTTGGGTGCAGCCCCCTGCTGCCCGCCTGGGCTGGCCGCCGCTACCTCAAGCTCCTCCGTGGCGCCGCTGCTCTGTACGCCCCCCCTCCTCCCCTCCTGCTCCTGCTTCTCTGTGTGTGTGCATTTGCATGTATGCATGTGTGAATGTGTTGATAGGTCTGTATGGTACTGTGTGTGCACACAGACGTGCTACCATTCTAATGAGTGCAATTTGTTATGCTCACATTCGCATATGGTGACTGATCAGCACTCGCTGACTGTACTCTGTTCTTGTATCTGCTGCCATGTGCTCTTGCTGTCACACTTTCCCAGCTCTCCCATCCCCCCACCCCCACTCACCTCACCACATTCCCCCATCCAGTACGCTCCCTCCAGCTATCCCCACTCGCAGCATGCCAACGTCCCAATCACTCGCCTCGTCCACCTCAACGTCATCTACCCCTCCCTCTCCCTTCTTTACCCTCATGCCACGTGTCCTCGCCTGTGTGTCCTCGCCTGTGTGCTCTCGCCTGTGTGCTCTCGCCCGTGTGCCCACACTCTTCGCCGGGATGGCAGGCTGTGGGGGGGGGCGTACAGGGAGCGCACAGGGACCAACGAGGTCAGCGGGCAGCTCGTGCGCAGCAACACCACGGTGCTCAAGGTGCGCAGCAACACCACGGTGCTCAAGGTACCCCAAACGCGTGCTCTGCTCACGTTGCTTGCTTGGTTGTTCTGCACCTTCCACACCTGGCGAAGTGTAAAGCATTTCTCCCTGTTTCGTTATACCTCGTCCCTGAGTGCACTGGGGAGGGGCTGCACTGCATGTGTCTTCCTGCGTACACCATTCCTCTTTCCAGAGTAGCGTCGCAATATTATTGTCCTGTCCCATCACATCCCCTCCTCCCTTTCCCCCTCCTCCCTCCCACTGTGCAGGTGCAGTGGTGGCGGGCACAAGCACTGCGCTTCATGCTGCGCTGGCCCTCGCCCTACCTCTGCCATCTGCTCAACCGCCACCGCCACAGCGCCTACGGCATGCAAGTGGCGCGCAGCACAGCAGGCGCCATGCACGGCCAGCAGCACATGCTGAGCGTGGCGGCTCGGCTGGCCAGCAGCCTGGGGGAGGACCTGCACGGGCACCTGCTGGCAGAGGCCGTGGGCGCGTGGGCGGGGGGCGTGGGGCAGGGGGCCGCCTCACCCCTGGCACTGCCGGTAGCAGAGCCTGGCAGCACCGCTGCTGCGCTGCAAGCACGCTCACTGCTGCTCTTGCACGAGCCTGCTGCTGCTGCTGGCGATGGCGATGGTGGGGGCGGAGTGGGGGCGGAGGTGTACATGCCGCGGCCGATAGTGAGTGTGCACGTGCGGCAGGGCGACAAGGGGCGTGAGATGCGGCTCTTCTCCTTCCCCTCCTTCGTCTTCCTCGCCAACCGCCTGCGCCGCCTCGACCCCGCCCTGCACAACGTGTGGCTCAGCACTGAGATGCAGGTGAGATGCAGGTGAGATGCAGGTGAGATGCAGGTGAGATGCAGGCGAGATGCAGGTGAGATGCAGGTGAGATGCAGGTGAGATGCAGGTGAGATGCAGGTGAGATGCAGGTGAGATGCAGGTGAGATGCAGGTGAGATGCAGGTGAGATGCAGGTGAGATGCAGGTGAGATGCAGGTGAGATGCAGGTGAGATGCAGGTGAGATGCAGGTGAGATGCAGGTGAGATGCAGGTGAGATGCAGGTGAGATGCAGGTGAGATGCAGGTGAGATGCAGGTGAGATGCAGGTGAGGTGCAGGTGAGGTGCAGGTGAGGTGCAGGTGAGGTGCAGGTGAGGGGTTGAGCAGGTTCAGCTACTGGATGTGCAGTTGGGGAAGATGAGCAAAGGGGAGGGAAGACAAGGGCAGGAGGACGTGGGTGGCGAAGTTGAGAGATGAGTGAGACCAGGCTGCGGTGTGTGTGACTTAGCTGGCAAGACGGGCCAGACAGTGCCTCGGTGGATTGGTGCCTGCCACCTGGAGACTCCTTCAATACAGTGGCCATCTCTGGCGTGGCACACCCCTCATCCACCCGTCATGCCTCTACTTTCCACTCCAATACCAACCACACCTTTGCCTTCTGCTTTGCTTACTGTCGCTTCTGCCTCCAGAGTGTGGTGAAGAGATCGTCCAGCTTTGGCAACTGGGACTTCTTTTATTCCAAGGTGCCGCGGCAAAAGGGCAAGGAAACCATGTCACACTACCTTCGCCGCACTGGCATGGCTCGTGTGGTGGGAGCCAGTTTTGCCAACCTGCTGGTGTCCTCAGAGTGTGATTACTTCGTGGGAGTTCTGGGTTCAAACTGGAATCGGCTTATCAATGAGCTGAGACTGACCAACGGGAGGCTATTTGCTGGCTATGTCGCGTTGAACTTTGACGAATGGTAGGTCGGAGCCTCGAACGGTAGAAAGAAAGGTTAAGAGATATAGAAGTGGAAATATATGTAAGTTAGTAGAATTGAGTGGTTTGCAGAATGGTTGATTAGATTTGCTTATAACTGTAGTTTGTTGCGCTGAGCTTATTGTTTATGTGTCAGCCAAATTATAGAGCCCATTCATTCTGAAACCTGCCTTGTAGTCCGCAAGACCTCTCAGCTCACCTTTATTCACGTTTTTTGTTTTGCTTTCGCCCCCCGACAATTTCGCATGCCGCCGTTCACCCAGCGTCCGCTTTTGTCGGATGAGACATTCTTCGTATTGTCCCGCGATTTTTCTGGCGTTCGATTAAGGCGCGAACACAATCGTAGCCGGGGTGAGTTTATCGTATCAAACGCCTGCCCGGCCGCTTCGCTGCCCACCGTGCCTATCGCACTGAAAAGACTCCACAGCTTCGGGAACTCCATCTTCGCTGCTACACCGCCGTTGGGTAGACCGTTGAATCAGGAGAAACACCGACAGCTGACACAATTTCCTTAGTCCCGACTTTTTCGGCAGGGTAACTGTCGCCGATGGTCCGTTTTTGTCGGGGCCGAACAGTGTCGCACCACAAATTGTTTTCTTGTACGCCCTGCTGTCGAACCAGCGCCACCCACGCCTTTCTAACCAGCACAGGGCTAAAAACACAAGGCCCCACCTTTTTATCCAGTAGCCAATAGGACTTACGAATTGCCTTCGAGGCTTTTCTGGTGTGAGGTATGTGAAACGTCGGTAGACTTGGCCAGTAGGGAGCTCCTTCTGCTACCGCCGCTTAGCCGTGAGACTCGGCCTCAGCAAAAGTTGTCGCTGTAGGTCGTTTTTCTCGCCTCCTGAAGTCGGAACCCGTTTCTCTCACCGGACCCGTATTAGTCGCAACTCCGTATATTCTAGCCGGTAGAACCCCCGAAAATTCGCGGGTCTAAACGCTGCGCCGAATCTTTGTTCCGTGGTGTACTGGGCTGTCTGCAAACGCAGGTACCTCTGGTCGGAGGGAACTGTGCCGCGTGAAGTGCAGAATCGGCTGCAACTGTTGCTCCGAAATTTTCGCCGATGAACATTGTGCCAGAAACAGTAGTCACCCAAGCCGGAACAGTCTGGTCGTAGGCGGCCTTTTCCGAACTTTTCGGTGGTTTGAAGAACAACTTCCGTCCCACACTGTGCCGCTCTGCCGAAAAAACGCCCACGACGCACCCTCCTGCAGCAACACCTGCCGCACCCGGGCGGGACGACGGTAGACCCCCGCTTTCTTCGGGCAGTCGTCACGCCGCCTCTCCTCGCCGTCGGTTTTTCCGACGCAAATCACACATTGCGCCTGGCTACTCGACCAGCAGTCGTTTTCCACGTGCTGCAACCCGAAATCTTCGCGCACAGTGACGACGCGCCACTTGCCGAAGACTTCCACTAGCTCATGCGCAACGTGACGAAGACGCCCATCGCCACTTGCCGCACGCAGCTAGCTCCGTAATTGTCGCGCGCAGCTGTCGACCACGTGTCGACGCAACTCGCACGACGATCTTGCTTCCGACAACTTCGGACGTGCGCCGACGACGAGCCTGCCGACGTCAGCCGCTACACAGCATTAACTCCGAAATTGCCGAAAACGACTACTGTTACTCACGCATTAATTGCGACAACAGCAAAAGCTGTCCGCCACCCGGGAGGAGGGAGGCCACGGTCCATCTCGACCGTCGAGGGCAAGGACCCGTCGGTGCCGCAGGAGCGCCTTGAAAATCATGGCCGCTAGGAGCAACTACCCGTTCTCCTGGCCGGCTCTTGCGCTGCTCCTGTCACCACGACATCCTTCCCTGTCCCCCCCCCCCCAAGGGGTATTACACTCTAAAAAAACGGGGAAGCTAGGAAAGTAGCTCTGATACCAAGTGTTATGAGTTTTTACTAGACAGAGTGCGCGGAAGACTTTATAAAGAAGACGTGATTACAGAGTGACGAAACAATGAAGAAAGCGAGAATATATAGGGCGAAAACTAGCTAGGCGAGAACCTCTAGATGTGCGTGGCTCGGAAATGTCGCGATTGGTGAGGGGCGACTCGGCAGTGGTTCGGGCCAAAGTGTAGGCCGAACCTTGAGAGTGCCCCGAAGTGCTTGGGGCTGTACGCCCTAGGAGCAGACTCCGTAATGAATAAGTCATATTCATTACAACCTCTCAGCTCACCTTTATTCAAACAAACCGCACTCAGGATGATTTCGCGTGCATCTCTAACGAAATTATTCAGTGTGCGCGCGAATCTGTGTGCTGTGCACACTTCACTTTCCACTTCCGTTGAAGTTCGACCAATCTCAGCCAAGGCGCCGCGCTACGAGATATCGACTGTTGGTGGTCGATAAGTATCCTCAGCGTTCCGCTCAGCCGTCAGATTGGCCTTCGCTCAACCCCGTGAGGGTGTCAGTCAGTTCACCATGGCCCAGGCTAGCAATCTGACAGGGCGTCGCCTTGTAGCAGTAGAAACCCCAGGGGGCGCGGTTCGGGACATTCTGCAGGAAAACAAAAACCTGGTACTGTATGGTGAACATGCTTCTTCAAGATTTTGCCGCCAAAAAGTGCCGAAGCCTACATTCTGTGTTTTACGAAAGCATAACGTCTCATTGGTAGCCCCTGTCTGAAGTTGAACGCATTTCGGATCACGCGTTTTGATTTGTGAGAGCAATATTTCTGGCTGGGGAAAAGCTGGATGCGACATTCGACGGATGCTGTGGCGATGCGAGCACGCGTGGCCTTACCATCATCGCGAAACTTGGGTTTCTGGTTTTCCAGCCAAAAGCCAGTCGTTGACAACTGGAGGGGTAAACCAATCGTCAACGCCTCGCAAACCTGTCCAGTTGGCCAGTAGGTTTCGACATTCCAGTTTTCGGGCGGCTCATTTGCGTGTTGCCAGGTATTTCATCGGTATGCTGGTTGACACCAACCAATCACTGAGACACGGGAGGCGAGCCTCCAGCTTGGCTGCGGTTGGGAAATTCCCCCAGTCGCTAGACAGCCAATCGTTTGATTGGAGGTTCCGAGGTGTTGGGGCTTCGACAATGTGGGACGAAGACATCGTATGGGTGACCTGTTAATGAGACATTCAGGCACATGTAGATGTGGCATGTAGAACGGGTATGAAATTCAATTAGATGCTAGTTTTTTTTTTATAGAGGCCATTATTAATTTCAATGTACTTATTAGGTGTGCTATGAACGGTGAGTTACATGTATGCAAAACTTGCGAAGAGAATTTAGACCGTGATGTATAAATGATATGAATGTAACAATGTTAACATTCAGAGATTGGTACATATAATATGTATATGCTAGACTGTAACCACGTGTTACACGATTTGTCAAAGGAATTGGCGCGCGAAATGGAAGTGTTAGGACGAGGCACCTCTAGAAATTTTGCAGTGTCGATTGCACGATCGCTGATTGCACCGCAATGAATGTCTCTGAAAGCATTCAAAATTCACTACACAATTTATTACTCCGCAAAAAATCGAACCTGGGCAGGTTCGATCGCAGGTACGGTGATACAAGGGTCAGGTCCTTATCATATCGGTGGGCTGGGAGGGAGAGGGGTGCGGATTTGCAGGATTGTAGAGAGGCGCGAGAAAATATACACGTGGCCCAGTTTCCACGCGTGTGCACTATTACACTCGCATCAATTTCGGCGATCCAATTTCGATCAGTCACCTCACTGAAAACCTGCTATCACAGTCTAAAACTTCCTGACATTTTTAAAACCCTGCTTTGTGTTAATGATCAATGCACACGATTGTCTCTGTCAGAACATTACAGCATATACATTTGTGTAGGCTGTAGTGGGGTAGCCCATAAGGGGTACAACCCAATAAGGGTTAGTATTTGTACCCAACTGTTTCATAGTTCATTCATCCATTCTCATTTCTCGTCATGGTATCGAGCAGGTTCCCGAGTGGGAATACTGCCCAGGGCCCACCACGAACTTATTTTTTCCTTCCCTTCCCGGAGCGCGCTTCGCTCCTAACCCGAGTAGCGCCTCGAGCCGCCCTTAGTGGCCCCTGTAGGCCGTCCTTACGGCCCCTCGCGCCGCCTTCTACGGCCCCTTACGGCCCCGTCTGGCCCCTTACGACCCCATTGCGGCCCCGCTTAGGCCCCTTACGGCCCCGTCGCGGCCCCGCTTAGGCCCCTTACGGCCCCGTCGCGGCCCCGCTAAGGCCCCTCACGACCCCGTCGCGGCCCCGCTTAGGCCCCTTACGACCCCGTAGCAGCCCCGCTTAGGCCCCTTACGGCCTCGTCACGGCCCCGCTTAGGCCCCTCCGCAGCCCCGTCGTGCCCCTTACGGCCTCGCCTAGGCCCCTTACGGCCCCTCCGCGGCCCCGTTTAGGCCCGATCTGGCCCCTTGCGACCCCTTTGCGGCCCCGCCTAGGCCCCTCCGCGACCCTGTCTGGCCCCTTACGGCCCCTCCGTGGCCCTGCCCAGGCCCTTCAACGTCCCCACCTGGCCCCTTTACGGCCCCGCTACGGCCCCTTTGCAGCCCCTTCACGGCCCCGTCGCCACCCGCGGCCCCGTCGCCCACTGCGGCCCAACTGATACCTGCGGCCCCGCCACCACCTGCGGCCCCGCCGCCACCTGCGACCCCGTCGCCACCTGCGGCCTCGCCGCCAACTGCGGCCTCGCCGCCACCTACGGCCCCGCCGCCCAGCGCCCGTAGCGCCGAGCAGCCAAACCGCCGGCCAGCTGAGCCGCCCGACCGCCAGACCGCCGAGCTGCCCAGCAACCGAGCCGCCCGACCGTCGAGCCGCCTAGCACCCGAGCCGCCCAACATCTGAGCCGCCCAGGAGCCGAGCCGCTCGACAACCGAGCCGCTCAGCACCGTGCAGCCGAGCTGCCCAGCAACCCAGCCGCCTTGCAGCCGAGCCGTCCGACAGCTGAGTCGCCCAGCACCGTGCAGCCGAGCCGCCCGACTGCCGAGCCGCCGAGCAGCCCGATCGCCCCACCTACGT